TTTTGTTTTATTTGATGATATATAGAGAGATAAATTGTAATATGGTGACAACATGGCTGGCTGGGAAGTCCTCTATAAATGCGCTTCTGTAGATGGTAAAATGTGGATCGCCAGAAGATATCTCACGGATCCAAGGCCCTTCTTCAGGAAGTGCTTGGATCCATAGGGAATAACATGAGGTACGGTTTCTGGGTATTTGTTTGGGACTATATACTGTATATATTATATGTGCTGTATTTATCTGACATTAGTGGCATACATACCATATACATGCTCTTGACATATACAGTGTAATATACAAACGTATAGTTTGAGAGAAGAGGAAGAGAGATACATTGACAATGTCGAGTTTATTTTTGCCTGCATCACCATGTTTGTTTGTTTATTTTGTTTTGCGTCGTTTGTATTTGCATTTGGGCACAAGATTTATTACGATACATCACATCAGATCACCTAGTCACATCAGATCACTTGCTAGATGTCAGCACAGAAAGACATAAAGATATGTGAGAGGGATTATGTATATACTGGTATACATGCATATACTAGTTGGTATAATGTATAATCACAACACACATATAGATTCATAGATATGTGAGAGCCATCACATGACATTAACACATGATATGTATTGATATGTAGTATGTGTACATCTACAATTCAAACTGCAATTGCCTAAGTGCATTTTCCACTGGTAGCGGTCCCAACTGGCATCCGGCTGCAGGGAAGAAGGCGACGCAGGAGCAGGGCCAGGCCGGGTGACTAGAAGTGCCCAAGAATTTGTGGGTTAGACCAACCAAGACCAAAATGCTGGGGTTTTGTTCATGACTTGTTCATAGACAGTAGTGTTGAATTTAATGGGAAATTATGGGATTGATTTACCCACATGAAAAAATATGTTCATAGTGATGAACATCATGGGATGCTCATGGGAAAAGATGTTCTAATATGTTCTAATCAATATGCTCCAATTGATTTGTTTATAAAGCTCTTAGTTTCCATCGGATTGCAATTCGGTACCATGTGGAATCCCCAAGAGTGCCATATTGAGCATCCAGGCTCGGGGACCCCGAAATCATCCAAAAATTGCCCTAATTACACTCAAACACCGGTATGTATATGTATATATACTTAATATGAATATGTAATGTATACTGTATACACATAATATATATACATACATATATATATATGTATTCAATATGTATATTATATCATATCATATCAGGCCCATGATTTTTTTTTATGTTGATTTGGTGTGATGTAACATTTCGTAGATAATTTCAGACTCAAAACAAAAACTCATGGGGCTTCATGTGGATTCAGCAGGCTACAAGTTCTGGAAAAAGTCAGGATATTCTGAGCTCACAAAAATACCCTCTGGTAATTTAACATAGCTATTGAAATGGCCCATTTCTAGTTGATTTTCCTATTAAAGATGGTGATTTTCCATAGCTATGTTAGTTTACCAGAGGGTAGATGTTGTCATATGTGTTTTGTATTTATTTGTTATACCAAACCTTTAATTATATAGTTGTCCATCACCCTTGGATCTGATCCTATATAAAGGGTGGGGTTGACCCCAACTATAATATAGAAAAATACCCCCTTCCTTTCTAGTCGAATTGATTTGTGGTGCGTTTTTCAATAGTTTGATTGGGGATACTATGGGATATTCCAGCATGGTAATTTGAATCGAACATGGTGATTTTTAGCTTAGGATTTTGGCGTTAGTGCTGAGACGTCTGGGTAGCCATATGGTTGTATCTGAAAATGAAGTATCCTCTGGTAAACTGACATAGCTATTGAAAATGGCCATTTATAGTGGATTTACCCATTAAAAATGGTGATTTTCCATAGTTACGTTAGTTTACCAGAGGGTATCCTTCAGCATGGCCACTATAAATAGAATAAAGCCTCCTCCCATGGTGACGGTGCAGCTTCAACATTGGATCCATAATATTTGTATACATATTGATTATATATATATTAGTTGATCTTGCGTATGGAGTATTAACAAGTGCTCATTGTTGGATGATTTGATGATAAGGCTTATGTCAGATCTTGCATTTTATAGTACTGTAACTCTACTGTAACCCAACGTTACATAACCAAAAACAGATTTATATTCTCTCGTGGGAAAATTCCCTATGTCAAACAGGTACCATCTCCCAACCTGGCAGGCCTTGGATGGTACGGATGGATTGAAGTCTGCATCCCTGGGTTTGTTTCATGCCCTGGGCCGTTTCCTGTACTGCAAGCGCTTGCGACCAGGCACGGCGCTGGTACAGCTTGGGTAGGGCTAGATGGCAGCTGTATGCTTGTCAAAAAAGAAGAGGTACCCTTGGTGAACCCCACCCAATTACTTTACTTCGTGTGATCCCCACCATGACATTTATACATTTTGTTACTGGCAAATCTTCTGGCATTCTATCTGACATATTTTCTGGCATTCGATCTGGCATTCTATCTGGCATATCTTCTGGCATTCTACCTGGCATATCTTCTGGCAGATGTTCTGGCATATCTTCTGGCAGATGTTCGGGCATATCTTCTGGCATATCTTCTGGCATATGTTCTGGCATATCTTCTGGCATTTCATCTGGCATTCTATCTGGCATATCTTCTGGCATATTATCTGGCAAATCTTCTGGCATTCCATCTGGCATTCTATCTAGCATATCTTCTGGCATATTATCTGGCAAATCTGCTGGCATTCTATCTGGCAAACATTCTGGCACTTTATCTGGCATATCTTCTGGCATTCTTAGCTGACATTCTATCTGGCATTCTATCTGGCATACCTTCTGGCATTCTATCTGGCATATCTTCTAACATTCTATCTGGCATATCTTCTGGCACTCTATGTGGCATATCTTTTGGCGTGGATACTCGCGGTTGAGTTCCGGCAGGGAACACTGGGCGTGGATGGTCGTGGTTGAGGTCCGGCAGGGAACACTGGGCGGGGATACTCGCGGTTGAGGTCCGGCAGGGAACACTGGGCGTGGATGGTCGTGGTTGACGTCCGGCAGGGAACACTGGGCGGGGATGGTCGTGGTCGAGGTCCGGCAGGGAACACTGGGCGGTGATGGTCGTGGTTGAGGTCCGGCAGGGCACACTGGGCGTGGATGGTCGTGGTTGAGGTCCGGCAGGGAGCAGGAGGAGAGGAGACGAGGAGAGGAGACGAGGAGAGGAGAAGAGAGGAGAGGAGGAGGAGGAGAAGGAGGAGGACGAGGAGGACGAGGACGAGGACGAGGAGGAAGCAACTGACATAAAATCTAACAACCCTCACCTGGCAGGTGGGGAAAAATCGATTGTAAGTAGTTTACCCTCTGGTAATTTAACATAGCTATGGAAAATCACCATTTTTCATGGGAAAATCCACTATAAATCACCATTTTCCATGGCTATGTTAGTCATTACCAAAAGGTATCTGAAAAAGTGGTACCCGCAATTCCAATGGATTCTAATCATTGGTCACTTTATCCAATCGACCCATTTTACCCATTTTGGATGTTGCCGATTTTTTTTTTTGGTGTATAAGTTTTGATCCATCCCTGAAGGGTTTCTCGTGAAGAAAGATCGTTTTTTTCAGTAACACTAATGATGAGGGAAGCAACACACATTTCAACCTTGGGCAACACATTGGCGATAAACTAAAACATAGTTTTTTTTTTGCGGCAAGCAAAAAAGTGATGATATAGCCAGTTGCTTGCTGGATTTTGAAAATGTGTCAAGTGATGTGTGGACTGTGAAGCTACCCTTCTTTAAGTCAAGTGGTCCACATTGCCGATCTAGTCACCAGGTTTCTTCAAGCAGCCAAGCAGCTGTATCTATCCAGTTGGAGAGGGTGGAACCCACATTTCAACCTACGACCTACGACTCAGCCTCTGGTATTTGGAGTACCCTCTGGTTATGACTAACATAGCCATGGTATAGATGGTCCATAGAAATAGATGGTTTACCGAACTTAATAGCATGGTGATTTTCCATGGCAAACTGTAACAAATAACCATATGATCATATTGGTAATTTAATCTACAGATATTTTTACCATGTTTTCCCAATGAAACCTTTATTAACATATGTAAATTAAGTAACCATAGCTGGGAAATCCACACTCAATGAAACCGTTGAAAAAACCTCTATTGAGTGTGGATTTCCCAGCTTTGCCGCGTGATCCAAAGGTCATTCCCAGATTTTTCAGGTTCAACGACGACTGAGACTCAGACTGTCAATGGCCGGGTGCCCCTTTGTGGGGTGTCACCGTGAAGTTGGATTCGTGGAAGGATCTATAAAAGGAATATCGTATCTACCGGTATCAACCTGATGAACATGTATACAAAATTATTAGGTACATGCATATTATCTAATGTATTTATATGCTTATTATTATTATGTTTGAAATGGTCCAGTATTATTAGGCCACTGCTACAGCAATCATTTCGATTACACATATATTTTTTGGTTTGAACATGGTCGGTTTGTTCATTGGCCGATTGGACGTGTGGACCGATGATTTCCAATCTAGACCAATATGCTACCAATATGCAACTACAATGGACAGGTTTTTTTAAGGCGCGTAGAGTTGAGGAGCAACACATTCTAACTAGCTGCTAGCTTTTCGTTGTCTGTTTGCTTTTGGGTTTTACATCTACATGCGGTCAGTTTTGTTGCAGAATGCAGAATATTTGAAGGGAAATGTGGCTGACCCTTTCCATTATCATGGTTGAGATGTCCGAAATCAAGTTTGGCTCAACAACTATGTTTTTTTAAAGATTTGAATAGATTTGAGGTACCAAGGGATGTATATATATATAGTTATATATATATATATTATGTTTTAATTAAATATAAGTTAATGAATCAATTTTCCACAGAATCGGCATAGCTATCGTAATTTTGTTCTTTTTGCGACTTAACTGACCTTGACATTATTTTCAATTTTTGTAGGTTCATCATATCTCGCCATGATTGTAGGCTTATCATGGAATTCCAAGAGCATCTTGGCTCAAGTCATTTTTGGTCTTTGCGACTTGCATCTTCCAATCATTGGCACTCTTCCTGCAACACGGTGCCAACAGGGTACTATGCTGAAGCCAATGGCAAGTCGTTGGGGGAAAACTATCCCCCGTTTTAGTGCTGCAAATGCTACGCCAGGGAAGGTCATGGAAGCCTTACGCGTGCAAGGTGACTGGCGGTGCAGCATCCACATTTTAGGTTTGTTGTGGCAAGTCAAATCTCAATGTTTTAAGCATGTTCAAACCATCATTTAAACCAAAGTTGATGTTGGTTCGGTCACTCTCCCTGGGTATTCCCTGGGTAAGGGGTCATGCATTTCTCCCTGTTCGGTTGTGTTTAACATCGCGTTGGAAGTTAAACACTATATTATATCCAGGTCCATAAATGTAAATCAAACCGGGCAAATCATGGCAACCTCACCATCTGGTTGGTGGTTTGGAACATTATTTTTTTTTCCACAATACATGGAATAGTAATCTGAACTGACGAACTCACATTTTTCAGAGGGGTAGGTATACCACCAACCAGCCACATGTTTTTTTCCAAGCCATGGCCGCAATGTAAAGGGAATGATCCCACGGCATGGCTTTGTTTTCACGAATGTTTCGACATGGATGCCACGCCCTTCATTCCGATAGATCCATATGTGTTTTCGAAATATCAATCTGCAACAAATCCAACATGAATCATTATATATATATAGAATTCAGAATCTAAGGATCAATCCACTAATGTATTAGTTTAGATTAAGTTACACACTACATATATAATTAGTATGTATTTCCATATATATATATGATACAATTCAGACTTGAGATCAATGTATACGCTATCCAACATTGATTTATATCCAGTCTTTCCGCGCCATTCCAAGCGCAGGTTGCGCCATCATCGAGCGCCTGATTCCGGAGCCGCGCGTGACACAGATCAGCGCTGAACTCGAACCACACGTCGCCTCAAGGTGACGTTGATCCCAAAGAATGATGGCTATAGCGGTGATTAGTGGTTAATAATGGTTAATCATGGGATAATCTATATTAATAGTGGTTAATAGTGGTTAGTAGTGGTTAATAATGATAATCAATGATCAATATACTGGCTGGTGGTTTCAAACATTTGTTATTTTCCATAGAATATGGGATAATTCTTCCCATTGACTATTTTTTTCAAGATGGTTATTGCACCACCAACCAGACAGATTATAACATGTTATAACCATCAGACATGGATAGAAAATGATAGACATATGATAGATTTATGGTGTTTTAGCATATTAAACCTATCGGTATAGCAATTATAACCATGGGAAATGGATAGACATGCTGCTGGTTTTAGCATATCAACACTGGGGGTTCAACATTTTACTAGGAAAGTTGGGACTACTGATGGTTTGTCGAGGGCGGATATTCACCAGCAACAACCACATAGTTTTTTAGGCGAATGTTAAGCGACGAGGTGGTGTCAGTGAACTGTTGTGGGGTCACCAGTGAAAAGCCACCAGTCACTGGGATTCTCCAAGTAGGGCAAAGTGAGACTTTAAGACGAAAAGTCACATGGTGGAGTTGGAAAAACATGGTGGATTTACCCTCTGGTAAACACACAAAGCTATTGAACATGGCCACGTATAGTTGATTTACCAATTTAACATGGTGATTTTCCATAGCTATGTTAAATTACCAGAGGGTATCAAAGTTCAAAGTTCCAAGCATGGTGGATTTGGAAAAAGACAGATCAGAACATCAGCATGGTGGGAAGCAAGAGCAGAACCGCACAAAAGGCAGCACATGGCAATGGAAACCCTCAGGTAATCGTTCACTATTTACTTGTGTGAGAGCACTTCCAATTGCAACGTTACATTGCTTATATAACCGTATTTGCTCTCATGTCTTTTTGGAACAACCATAGTCAGAAAGCCTCCATAGTGTAGTTACTATACTTTTTGGTAATGTTAGTAAAGCAATAATAAACCAATCATATTTTGATGTTTTCTAAAGTTTATACCAACCATTTATGATAATGTGGGGACGGTTTTCTATTGCTTTAGAAGATATTACTATCATTCGAAGTTGAAGGATTAAGATCACACGTTTCTGTACTCATGACCATCAATGTCCCTGTGGAACTGCGCAACATTACAGAACATCAGTGAGGTTTTTGAGGGAAATTACATGTACAGTAACTGTATAGCAACCACAAAAACATAGAACTGTGGAAAACATATGACTGGTTGGTGGTTTGGAACATTTTTCCATATATTGGGAATGTCATCATCCCAACTGACGAACTCCATCATTTTTCAGAGGGGTGGCGAAAAACCACCAACCAGAATATTATGGTTAATATAACCCATATTTTGGTTATGCTTATTGCCACTGTTTGACCCATAACCACTGAATAAACAATAACTAATATATGGTTGGTATGAACCATATATATATATAAACCATATATTAACCATACATATATATATTAACCCATTTCCAGGCTGGTATTGATGATGTTTCCCAGCCATTTCCAAATTTCCAACTTTTCGGCATCATTGTGCAAGCACCAGGCTGTTGCCAGCGGACGGTGCTGATGTCATGCTGCGCGAGCATGCAGATTTCATGGGCAATCGCACCAAACGAATGTTGGGAGTACTGGCGAAGTCCCCGACGATGTCTGAGACACTTGGGATGTTTTGGAGGAGGAAAATTGGGAGATGCTACTGATAATGAACGGTTGTTATCGTATATATTATATCCATATATTCCAATGATATGAACGGTTGTTAACCAACATATCCACCATAAACCATACTTAACAAATCATAAACTTATATATCTAGAAGGATGCCATTCCTTTATCAGGCTTTTAACAGTTGTTCGCTGGCAACATGGGGTTCAGGATGGCTGCCCACCCCTTGGTGCTGGGCGTGGCCGATGCGCTCTTGGCACCCTATTGCGAACGCATCCAGCTCCACATCGGCATGTTTCGTCGCTTATGCCCAGGCGAAACGGCGAGCTCCGGGGTGAAGAGCCTGGGGGTACCTGTGAAAGATTGGGATTGGGATACCCTCTGGTTATTGAACAGTTCGCCATGGTATAGATGGCCCCAATCGAAATAGATGGTTTACCTAACTTAATAGCATGGTGATTTTCCATGGCAAACTGTTAGTCATAACCAGATGGTAGATGATATATCGCCATGAGTCAAAACCCTGCCCTATATTTATATTGGCTCATGGATCTTGATTCCCCCAGGTCTTGACCCATTCCCAAGGTGACACTGTGCAAAATCCCAGTTGGCAACATGTGGATCCAGCCACAATCGGAACAGCGACACGTGGGGTTTTAACCAACAAGAATGGGCAGGATAAGAAATAGAAATTGGGCTGGTTGGGGTGTTCAAATATTTATGTTTTTTCATACAGAAGGGATGATTGGTTGAGATGAGGCTCGCGTATTGTTAGGGTTTTCGAACCAGGATCTTTCTGCCAGGGAAATCCAACAGTAATGGAGAGCCTACTCGGACAATGTGTCATTTTTCATAGAGTCCCTCAAAGAAATGGACATTTACCCTCTGGTAAACTAACATAACTATTACTATTGAACATGGCCATAGAAATAGTTTATTTACCCATTAAAAATGGTGATTCCCACCCAATAGTTATATTAAATTACCAGAAAGTAACCATCATCGACCATAATGGTTCATGCTCCTCAACCATCATGGTTCAAGCATAATGTTTGAGTAGGGACCATGAACTTATATGATAAACAAATGGTTCATGTTTCAACCATCATCAACAATAAGTCTTTAGTATAAAATTCAGATTATGGGTGTGACGATCAAGCACAACCCTCTCAACAATCATATCACCAACAGTCTTATTTTTTTTAAACAACCATCAACCATGAAGCATGCCCTTTGGTACTCGAACGTTGCAATTGAACATCCATTGAGTTCAATGATTTTTGCCGCTATAAACCTAATTTCATTGTGTTTTCCCTATATTTTCCGATGTTTTCCCATATTTTTCCCATGGTTTCCCGGACATGTCCCAGTTTTTCCCTCGGCAGGAGAGGGCATGCAACTTTTACACCAAGATCGCCACAGTGTGCCGGCCATGGAGCTGAAACCTGCCAGGGGCGAGCCGGGCTATTTCCCTGGAGCCCAGTGGGGCGTCGCAGACGCTTGGAGCTTGGTTTGTGGTAGGAACAGAAGCAAGAGTCATTACCAATATTTCATAGGTATATCGGTATATATATATATTATAACGGTATTACAAACTTTAGTTTAACATTGATTATGTTTGTGTTGCATGCAATACAAACATAGAAACACATAGATACAGTACATATATTATATCTATATAATATCTATAATATCTATAATATCTATATACAGTGTACATATAAATATATATGTTATAGATATCATGATTTTCCACTTTCCAAAGCAACCGGAAGCCGCTTCCCAATCGGATCTGCGTCCTCGGCTGAGGCCCTGTGGGCCTTGTCGGATTGCACGGCGCAGAACGGTGCCACGCGCTTGATCCCCGGATCCCATCTGCGTGACCCGGTGAAGCGGACGGACGTTGTGCCATTTTAGGCATGAAAACAAAGGTCAAACATGGATAGTTAATGATAGTTAATGGATGTTAATGGTAATGAATGATCATTAATGATCATTTTAATGATCATTGATCATTAAAGTAATGATAGTTAATGGTAATGAATCCCTAGTGTTCCAAATACCCTCTGAGAAGGTGTTAGGCCCCAAAAAGCAACTCCAAATACATTCTCGGAAGGTGCTTGGAGCTGTAGGGAATGATGATTATTAATGATCATTGATAATTAAAGTAATGATAGCTAATGATCATTAACGATAGTGAATGATCATTAATGATCATTATATATAATCATCATTACACATGGTGGATATGGTCTGGGGAAGTGGCACAACTTTGGATGTCTTCCAAATTCATTGGGAGAAAACCGCTGCGAAACCAAGGAACACGGTGATTTGAATTAGCGGGCTTGGTGAAGTAAAGCCCAATGAGGACTGACCGAAAGAGGGAATCAACCAGCAAAAACAGGAACACATATCCAGAATGGTGCAATATCCAAGCTGAAACCGGTTGATGGTGTAATTTGTTTCCATTTTTTGGAATGAGCAACCACCAAGTCTTTCCAGGTCAATATGTTGTGGATATACAGAGGGCCAAATGTTGCCCACAAAGGCCTCAGCCATATCATATATATATATATATATTTGTATATATATATATATATCATGTATTATAACAATCTATAATAACCCAAAAAAGAGGCAGACAAGTTTTGATTCATCACTAATTTAGGTTCGCATGTTACGAACTTCATCAAATTTCCATTTTTTCGGTGGGTTGACAATCTCCCCCGTCTCCACGTTCGATATCCCTCGGTCTCTGCACTGAGGCAGCGATGTGAATTTGGATATGACGCTGAAGAGAACCGAGGCGCAAGAGCAGGAAGTTGGTTGGACACCAAGTGAGGAGGACAGCGTCGCGTAGCGTGTTGGAGATATGTTTGGGTAGTGGAGCTGTTACATCATTACAGAACATGATGCTAAGATACTGACTGATACTGTAATATACATATATATATATATATATATATATGTACATTATCCACATACATTTACAATTAGCATACCATATATATATATGTATAATATAACCCTAAAGTTCAACATAGCTGGAAAATGGGCATAGCATGGTACACAGTTCGTACTAGAAACTGCTATAACCAAAGCTATTAGTCTAAGTTAAACAGTATATAGTATGAATTCTGAATCCACAATCAGTTATGTATATATGATATATATTTATAATATATATATATATTTATAATATATATATAATATATATATATAGCATTATGGATTGAACTAAGTTGAACCACTGCTATAGTTGAATGAACTATAGCATGGCATGGTACAACAATAGCTATGATTATACCATGCTTTGATTGAACTAACGTTAAAGAAGTATAGCAGTATATCCATAGTATATCCATGTCCTTGTCCGTAGTTAATTCATTCTGAATGTAGGCGATGCATTGATCAGAAGATAGGAGTTGAACCTTGTGGTTGTGTACGTATTTAAATCAAAATCCTGTTCTTGGTAAAACAAGGTTAAATCCTAATTGTTCAAAACACAAAGAATTACTAAATTTCCCAGTGTTGTTACTTTAAATCCTTCTTTATGTTGATTATATGAATTACCCTCTGGTAAACATCAGTAACATATGGAACATCACCATTGAATCATGTTTGGTAAATCAACTATAAAATGGGCCATCAATAGCTACGTTTCCAGAGGATCTTTCCATCGTCCCTGGGAAGGATTGCATCTTAGCCACCATGCCACGTGGCAGCGTCTTGCTCTATCCGTCGGCCACGGTGCGTGGTGCCTCGGCAAATCAAACGGAGAGCGTCCGCGACGTGTGCCTCTTTGCTTACTCACCGGCATCTCAGCTGAATATGGGGGGTTTCCATAGTCATGGGGGTATCCCAAAATGCATGGTTTAGAATGGAAAATCTTGCGGCTGAAACCCACACTGGTTGGTTTGTTTCAACTCAATCCCATTGTTTTCTGTTTTTTCATTTATATACTGCTACAAGCTGGTACCACCACCAGTTAAATTCATTATATTTGTTGGTTTACAACTACCCCACTCTACAGATCTACCATAATATATATATATATATGTTTGTTGAGTTGTAAAGTTTATAACCCCTGCCCCCACTCTACAGATAAATATATATATATATATATTCACCATGAAAACCCAGGACATCCCCAGGTGTTTCTCCCCACGCTTCACTCGAGGCCTGGGTGCGTCAAGAGGAGAACCTCTTTCTGACGACCCCTCCGAAGGTGGCTGCGAAGCTTCCGCAGGTGGTGCAGGAATTGCTGGGACGCTTGGGCGCCAGCGAAGGATTGGGATGTTCCCCCCCAAAAAAATAGGGGGTTTTAATGGATTTTAATGGGTTTTAAGCGGCCAAAGGGTTGACTCCAATTTGGAGATGTGTTTTTTGAGTTGTAAGGCATTGTAAGATGTTTCAAGTTGATTTACTGTAGAACTACGTGGATTTATTGTGATGATCATGGTGATAGAATTACAAAGTCCACCCCCAGTTGTAAGTTGTTTCTGTGCTGGTTTCAGGAGTTGGAAGATGATGACGTCATAACTCATAACCAGCCGTTTTTGTTTCTCTTTTGTCCACAGAGTCTAACGCTATTTCCCTGGGTGATTCAATGTTATCCATGCGAAGTTGCTCCGAAAGGTCCTAAAATTGTCCCGTATGAATCCCTATGTCTGGCCCATGCTGGGAGGTTTGTGAAAACACATGATATTTTCTGTAGTGGTATACCAATCCCATGAAATATCCCCATTAAATCCCATGATGTTTTTGCCGCCATTGAAAAATCCCATATGAAGACGATTAAATTAAGCAACCCCAAACTTTTACCGAATCTTATCCGCAAGAAAATGTCTTACCCGACCCCGCAGTAAAACTCCTCAGGATATTCTCTTCATGGACAAGTGCTTGGAATGGTCGATGTCAATGGCGACATGGGCGATCCTCAAGATTTGCTGAAGGCGAGTCGTGTAATGGGCCTCGGTGTTTCTGATGCTTACACATTGGTGAACTAGACTATACCCTCTGGCAAACTAACGTAGCAATGGAAAATCACCATTTTTAATGGGAAAACTCACTATAAATGGCTATTTTCCATAGCTATGTTAAATTACCAGAGGGTACCCATGAAATATACCTATAGTTATAATTGGTTGACTGCTTGGTTGAGTGGGGTACTGGTTACGTTGGTTGGTGCCCCAGTTCCTTCGGTCAGCTGATAACTGAGCGGAGAATGGATGCTTATGGCAGATAGGCAGATATTAATTGAACTGGGTATGGCAGATATGTTGAAGTATATCGAGATTTCCGAAGTCATAAGGCCACCCCCAGTCATCATCCATTTATAGATGGATTTTCCTTTATAAATCCACCATCCAGCGATAAAGAGGTACCCCCATGACTTCCTATGGAAAGCCTCATGGGCACCACGGCGCTGCGATGGGATGGGGATCTCCAAAGATCAAATCCACCACGTGTTGTGCATATTTTTGTCGAATCTGCTGCCTCATAGCTATTATTTATATATATATACACATATTATGTTATATATATATATTTACATTTACATTCATTGTAGTTAAGTTGGTTTATAACTGATATAGCTAGGCTCTGATGTTAAACATATATTAAACGTTTATGAAGCAACTGATTTATCTCAGGGACACCACGATGTTTGCCCAGGAGTTCAGCCCCTCCACTGCTACGTTTGCCAAACGCGCCGCGCTGCCGGTGCTGAGCCGCCAGACGCTTTCGGCGAATGCGGAGCTGTTGCGGAGCACCTGCGAACACATAGGTTTTTTCTATCTGGTGTCCAGGCAGCAGCGATTTGTTTGGGTATCTTGGAGTCTAGAACAATGATCATAGTCCGTCCAAGCAAAGAATAATCCATGATCGTTGCAAAGGTTCACTATGAAAAGATGGTTCAGGTACTAATGATTAAAAACTACCTTCTGGTACACATTAATGGTTCAGGTACTTAAGCTCAGGCCAGATGATAGCCCTATGGATCCTGATCTTCTGAGGATGTTATATATAAATCACCAAGATACCTGGTTGGTGCTTTGGAACAATATCTGGTTGGTGGTTAATGATGGTTAATGATGGTTAATGATGGTTAATGATGGTTAATAATATCTGGTTGGTGCTTTGGAACATTTTTTACTTTTCAATAATATATCGGGGCTATTGGGGATAATCCTTCCCATTGGCGAAGTCCATCATTTTTCAAGATGGGCACATTGCACCAGCAACCAGTAATTCTACCCCTGTTCTCTTAAGCCCTCCGGTACTTCTCTTAACAAAAGGGCTGTGGAAGATGAGCAACATGAAGCCTACTTGGGCAGGACTGGGGTTATTGAATGATGGGTACTATACTAAAATAACCTCCATGAGTTGGGATACAACATGATACGACACGTACAACTACGTATATTAAAGCCACTTAGTTTAGTGGATCTCTACAAGCACAATTCAAATTGAATGGAATTATATCAATGGCCATGTCAGGAACCGATTGATTAGAGGTACCTACCATATATAAGGCCTATTTTTCAGGCCTAAATTTCAGGGAATATCCCCACAAAATATGGCCAGAAATATGGTACTAACGTAGCTCCTTTTCAGGATTCTGAAATTCCCATTGATTATAAGGAAAAAAAATAGTCCAAAGGTAAATTGAATGGGATTAATGGTAATATGTGTGGATCCATCAACCTTTGAGATGTTTGGATCTACAGGATCAAATAAACTAATCGAGTCCTACTGTGAAGGAAAACCTATCTAAATGGTTTATATCTAGCGTCCACATTATATAGATCAAATGATGTTCTAAATCATTCAAGCAAAAGTTCCCGTATATGTTTCCATATTTGTATATAATATATACCTAGTTTTTACATATACTATGGATATATTTGGATCCAACTAGCCCTGTTTGAACGAAAAGTTCCGAAAAGTTCCAGGTGGACCACGGCTTGGAAGAGAAGTTGCTCCGCGCCCAGAACGCCTTGCGGAAGTTCTTCCTGCAGCGGGACGAGGCGGACCCGTGGCAGTGGCGGTTGGGGGACAAGCTCTTTGAACGGGATATAATTTACCCTCTGGTAATTTAACATAGCTATGGAAAATCACCATTTATAGTGAATTTTTCCATGAATAATGATGATTTTCCAAAATTATGTTAGTTTACCAGAGGGTACAGGGATCCCCAAGAAAGCCTGGGTTTCAATCTACTAAGTCATGGTCATCGACAACTGGATGAGGACGGTAGCCCCAGGACTTAGGAACCCCCCAGTGATTCAATGGGGATAACTGTACCCCCAGTGAATGGGCCATAACTGTCGCGATTCAATGGGGACTGAATGGGGATTTCAAAATTGTACCCTCAGTGAATCTCTATACAGTTATGGCCCAACTAACTGTAACTCTTGTTTCAATAGAACGGCATATAACTCCGATGACTAGTTGGTGACAAGTTTGATTCATATATATATATATATGTATATACATATCTCATTAAACAATCTTATTGGCTGTTATATATCATTAAACAATCATTAAACAATCTTATATCATATATATATATATATAATTATATTTATAACTGTTAGTTGGGCCATAACCGTACCCAAAAAAGCCATCCGTTCATGCCGCCAGGTCAAGGCCAAGGTGGGCACGTCGACCTCACGCGTCTTCCCGCAACACTCCCGCGGCTGGGTGGCCAACGAAACGCTGGATCCCTCCAGGTGAGGGCAAGACACACCAGTGGGTTTGGCACTGGTCTATTTGTATGCGTATAATTACTATAGATAAATAAAATTAAATAGATAGATAGGATAGGATAGGATAGGATAGGATAGATAAGATAGATTCATAAGATAGATAATATAAAATATATATGATGTCGATAAGATAGACAATATAGATAAAATAAATAAGATAGATAATATAGATAAAATAAATAAATAGATAAGACAAATAAGATAGATACGGTAGATAAGATAGATAAAATAGATAAGATATTATAGATAAGATAGATAGGATAGATAAGACAGATACCATAGATACAATATATAAGATTAATAACAAAATATATATATATATATAGATAGGTAGATAGATAAATAGATATATAGATAGGTATATCAATAGATCGATAGATAGATAGACAGACAGACAGAGAGACAGAGAGACAGAGAGACAGAGAGACAGAGAGACAGAGAGACAGAGAGACAGACAGACAGACAGACAGACAGACAGATAGATAGATAGATAGATAGATATCAATATATAGATATAAAATGATATAAATATATAGATATAACTATATAGATTCTAGACATAAGTGTAAAGATATAGAGAATGAGATATGTTATCTATATATATATATACACATCTATCATTTGCAGTATGAGAGTGTTGGTTTATCAACAATGTAACAATGTATGATATAGATTGTTAGATTGGTTGATCACTTTGTTGGTTCCATCCTCACCTCACCTGCGGGCCAGGCAAGGTGTTCTGGACCTGAAAGAAAGCTTGGAGGCGTGGTTTCAGAGTGGGCCCAAGGTCACTGCAAGATGGTTGCTGTTGACCCAGGAATAATAACCTTCCTGGGCCGTTTTATTTGCGCCATTTTAGTAGCAAATTATCAACTAGGGTTTATTGATCCGGGGTTCACATGAATCATGTTTCCCCAGCATCCAGCCGTAGCCTTATCAGGAAGTATTTGGATCCACAAAACAGTGTGATAGTGTGATTTGATCTACACAAAGTTGGATTTCAGCTCTACACGCAAACTTGGATTTAAGCCGCAAGAGTGAGGGATACAATGGGGTATCCTTGAATCGTTTGACCTGGCAATCGGAAGTTTCCATAGACTGCGAATCTCTATGTTCCGTTGCGAGTGTTTGATTACCAAACGGCACATCACTGACAGAGATATGACCAGGGGAATTATCCAGGAACAAGGTTTTCAGTAGAGGATTTGTCATGTGAGTTTTGAGGCAGCAGTATTGTTGGTGGTTTCACAGATGTACGCCCGTCCTCATCGCTGCTTGAGGTGATGAACGATTGGCCAAGATCATGTTAGTCATGTTCATATCATGTTCATATCTCTCTCTCTCTCTATGTATAGATATAGTACACATTATGTATATATATATATACACATGATATCTACATACATTATATTGTAAATCAGTACTTTGACATACAGATCTGACAGGTGGGCTTGGAGAGACCGGAGGAGGAGGATCCTCAGAAGCGCCCCTTCCGGGGACCCAACAACTGGCCCTCGGAGCTTCCGGAACTGAAAGAGGTGCGGGGACCTGGGGGGAGGGATATGTATATAGATGCTCTATATATATATATATATATGTATATATATATATATTTATTTATTTATATATATATATATAAACCCTATGGATCCAAGTGCCTTCTTAGGAAGCCACTTTGGCTGTAAGAGCCGCTTACTAGGCTGTAAGAGCCGCTTACTAGGCTGTAAGACGCTTACTAGGCTGTAAGAGCCTCTAGGCTGTAAGAGCCCCCCACTACAGGCTGTAAGAGCCTCCTACTACAGGCTGTCAGAGCCTCCTTCCGGGGTGTAAGAGCTTCTACAAGGCGGCAAGAGTTTCCTACTAGGCTGTCCAGACAGGAGCCTCCTACTTCGGGGTGCATTTCACTTCCTAAATTTGGCTTATACCTCCAGTGATATATGGAATATCCATAAACCACCGGCGCCAGGAGTTCATGGCCGCCGTCAATGCTCTGCATGAGCTGTCGCTTGAGGTAGCCTCGGCATTGGAAGTGTGCCTAGAGGTAGAGCCAGGCGCCGAGCCGCCGAGCAGGGCCAAGTCGCTTCGATGGCTCCAATGGGGGGTGGGGGTTCCGAAGTCATAGGGGTACCCCTACAGGTACCCCCAGTTCTCATCCATGTTTTTGGATTTTTCCATGAAATAAAATGAAATAGAGAAACCAGCTTTATTGGGGTACCCTATGACTATGGAAACCCCCGAATGAGCAGCTGGGATTTAAGTTTCTGGATGTTCATTTTGCCCCAACATATTGGCAGTTCATAGGTTTTGATCCCCAAATGATGTCTTGAAATATCTTGAAATTGGTGCAGGAAGGGGAACCAATAGTTGGTGTGTAAGTTGGCCAACTAGGATTTATGGTGGATTATCGGATATACCTACAGTTGGAAGGGGCTAAATCAACTGGTGGGGCCCTTCTTGTGGAAACCATTCTATTGAGAGATACATGGCAGAAATAATCCTCTCTCCCTATTACTAACACCCCCAAATGGCAAACACGGTGATCTATTTTTATTATTAGGGGGTATTTTGTATTGGGGCGCCGGTAATATTCCAATGTAAACCTTATAATGAAAATGAAAAAACAAATTCACATTTGATTAAGTCCCTTACTATTTTTTTTAAAATAATATGTTGCCAAAAACTGGATTTCAAAGATTTCCCCTAATATTCCAATGAACACATTAACAATAAAAATAATAAAACAAAGAACTTGATTTCAAATTTGATTATATAATCCCCTTTTAAATGTATATATATATAATACCAAAGACTGGATTTCGAAGCTTTCCCCTAATATGCCAATGAAAACATTAATAATCAAAATATAAAAACTCGATTTCAAATTGATTAAATCCCTTTCAAAAATCTATATAAAATATTGCCAAAAACTGGATTTCGAAGATTTCCCCTAATATTCCAATGAAAACCTTAATAAAAGTAACAAATTAAGCTTGTGAGATGGGACCCTAATAAAAAAGATCCAGGTGGTAATCTATTTTTAGAAATAGGGGGTTGAACCCATTGTTTCACCATCATGTTCTCCTATGACTCAAATACCACAATTAAGAATCCAATTGTGCCCAAGCACAAAAAACACACAAGTGCCACACCAATCCTTTTTTTATTTGGGGGAGTTTTAGTAATAGGATGAAGGGATTATAATGTCACCATCAAAATAGGTGTATTCCCAATTTTGGGATTGGAATATGATTTACCAGTCTGAAATTTGTACTGACTGTATTTGCAAAATATTATATGCAATGTTCATTTTTCAATGTGCAACTATGTGCAACTATGTGCAACTGCAAACCATGAAGAATTCTTCAACGTAGGTTGTTTCCATGAGGGCGTCACGCCGCCCGGCTCGTGTGACAGGTACTTTTGTGAAGAAGTGCCGCCTGATTGCATCATCAGCGAAGACGTTTGAGATTGATCTTGGCCGTCGATGATACATGAATAACTAAATACTGTCCAGCCTGTATACCGTGGTACATTCAAACATGGCCATAACTAAATCTGTTGTGGCTGGTTTGTTGAACCTGTTTCAAAAATATTATGTAGTGTTTGAATCAAATTAGGGGAAAAACATACGCGTGGAAACGGCCAGAATTGTCCATATTCTATTTTGTTGCTGCATCCATGTTCAAAATTGTCATATATCCTATGTCATAGTATGGCAGTCAGTCTCTTCACTGTTAAAAAAGTGCCGCGATTCTCCCCATCTTTTCGTGAATCCATTCTGTGGGTGGACCCATAGGGCATGGCGCAGGTGATGATCCTATGGTATTGTGCCGCGGCCTCCATTACTACACCCCCCTCGGTGGCGACACGCCCGACGAGGCGGCGTTGGGCTGCTCCGCGCACACGGACTACGGCCTGATTTCGCTGCTGCATCAGACGGCCAAGGGCTTACAGGTACTGCATGCCGAAGACAATGCTGCTGGGATCAAGATTCTAAAGAGATTTTGCCAAGAAATCAATTGATAAGGGGGCACACTCTAAGGCTGTTGGGGCTTCTTGGGTGAACCGAGCTGAAAAACTGACCTAGGCTGCTAGACTCTTGGAAGGTAACCTTCCTGCAGAATCAACGCGCAGTGATTCGTAGACCTTGGCTGAGATTTTCCATATGGGTAGACACGCTTGATGTTCAAACGTACTCAAACTTTCATTTTGTACACTGTACTTAAACCATCTTAAACCCATCATTTGGGCTAATAAAATTTCATTCTTGCCAGATCAGGAATTTTATTTTTTTGCTGCTTGGGCTTAAACCCACGATTTTTCCATTCAAACCAATTCCATCATTCTTCACTGTATTTCAATTTTCCATCATAAATTTTCCACCATGTTTGCTCCATGTTTCCAGCATTGTCCCATCATGTTCCACAGTTTTTCGACCATGTTCCACCAATGTTCCTCCATTTCCACCATTTTTCACCATGTTCCCATCATTTTACATTTTTGTTGGACAATGTTCCCACCATTTTCCCATGTTTTTTCCTAAGGTTTGGATGGATGTGGACCCCTTGCCGGGTTCCCTGGTGGTGAATTTGGGCGATCTCATGCAGCGCTGGACCAACGGCCGCTTCAAATCCACGGTTCATCGCGTGCTGCCGCCGGAGCCGGGGCAACGGCGGCAGTGCATCAGCTTCTTCTTGGAGACTTGGAGCGATGGGGGGGAAACAATTGATATATGGTATATAAACCCCTGGAATGATATGGTTACTATGGTTACTCCCCATAGTTAGAGGGTAATCACCAAGTATAATAGTTAATATAGCTATATCTGGAATAATCTATGGTTAATCTATGGTTAATAATGGTTTATCATTGGAATAACAATATATCTGGTTAGTGGTTTGGAACATGTTTTATTTTTCCATATATAGGGAATAGTAACCCCAACTGACGAACTCATATTTTTCAGAGGGGTAGGTATACCACCAACCAGATTGATATATGGTATTTAAACCCCTGGAATGATATGGTTACTATGGTTACTCCCCATATTTAGAGGGTAATCACCAACTATAATAGTTAATATATATATATAGCTATATCTGGTTCGTGGTTTGGAACCATGGAATTTTATGACTTGCCATTCAGTTGGGAATGTCATCATCCCAACTAACTAATATTTTTCAGAGGGGTAGGTATACCACCAACCAGTATGTGTATCATGTTAAAATCATATTATCAACAATGATGTTATATATTATTTTTACAAGCTCTGATGTTCTCCATCCCCATCTTATGGCCCAACGATTGCAGATATCAAAATGAACCAAATAACTCCTATCATCAGAAATATCATGAAATCATGAATAAACCCATTTGAACCTGTTAAGGGCCAGAACTGTAGTGTATATATGTATAATAAGTTGGCACCACCCCCCAGAAATAAGTTGGTCTATAAATCCCACTGACTCAGATGTGATGTCGGAAAAAAAAAACTATGGTTTGTAGTATATAATATATACAAATATCTACACTTACAAATATCTACACTTACAAATATCTACACTTACTTGTGTTTATAAGCCAACTTATAGTTAGGACCCACATTGTACATGTATGTTTTGACCCTGAAGTAGATAGAATATGCATGAATTTTCAAATATATTACCATTTTAGTGAGGATTGTTTGACATTTATATACATAGTCTATCTAGTGAACCATGGGGCACCACCTTGTGTATATGTATGTATGGGTACATGTATGGATATATATATATATATATATAATGTATGTAGAGATGGATGGTTGGATGGATGAATGGATAGATAGCTAGACAGATTCAATTTACATCGGTGGGTATGATTTTGTGCATTATCTACTTCTATATACATTATGGAACACTTGGCAAAAAAATGTGAGTAGTCCCTGTTCCCTTGGGATGTTTGGAAAAATGACAGAAAATAAGGTGGTTGGGTATGACATTGTTACTTCTTGAAGACTTGGGCTGGAGTTTGATTGATAATTTGCGTGGTATAATAGGGTATTACATTTGGTTGGTGGTCCAATCAATCCGTGTCAATTGACTAAATTTGGGCCGACAAGCTAGGGTCTGATGCCTCAAACATGGGAGAAGATAAACATCAAGGCTGTAGTAGATTCTTCCCACTTTCAGGGCTTACAAGTTTTCTATCTACTTATTCTGAGATTGCTGCAAGACTAGTTTCTAAATTTGTTGTATTTGTTGTATTTGTTTGCTTACATTACATGTGACTCGCCCATGTTAGTGTCCAATTTGTTGACTATAGCAACCTCCAAAAAGATAGGAAAACAATGGAAACCGTATGTATGTTCATTTGTGTCCCGTTATGTCATAGTTCTCCATATGTTTTTGGGAGGTGAATCACCCGTTTGATAGCTAAGTTGACTTCTAATTTGGTTCACTAGGCTTCATGGTGGATACAACTACTGTGAATGGGTCGATAAAGCAACTTATAACTTGGGGGTCCTTACCTTAAAATGGTTGGAAGAAATACACATTATCCTATCCAGCCACAAAAATCAAGTTGTCATTTATCATTGGTGTATCATGGGAATAATGGATAGTTATCCCATGCTGAGAAGTGTTACTATTCCTTTGGCAATCAAACATGGCAATGACATTGAACATCACAAGTGGAAACTAAAAATTATGGAAAATCATGGAAACACATATCTGGAATATGATTCCATTATTCTGGAGTAAAAAACTTCCGAATATTGGATAACTATGGATATATAGCTAACATTAGCCAACCATATAAATGGAATTCAAAGGATATCTGGTTGGTGGTTTCAAACATTTTCTATTGTTCCATATGCTGGGAATAATCATCCCAACTAACTATATAATATTTTTCAGAGGGGTTGAAACCCCCACCAACCAGATATAAATGGTGGATATTTTCCATTGTAAATATGTTATCCCTTCATCTGGATTCTTTCCCTCCTGGGAGATGATCCAGGATGCCAATTTCGATGCCGTCATCGAGCCGTTGCCAAGGCGATCCGTTGCCAGGTTGACGTTTTGTTATGGCCCAGGTAGCAGTTATGTTATAGGGTTACAGGCTGGTGCCCCAGTTGGGAATCGCTAAGTTGGTGGGTATAAGTCCAATAACTCTGTCCTGTTTTTTGCTGGTGATATATCGAAGTAGTTTTCATGTGATTGTAAGCCAATTATAAGTGGGGGGGCACCACCTTGTATAGTTACAACTACCAATTATATAACCCTAGTTGTGGTTATTTGCACCAACTTAGCTATCAAACGGGGGCCCCACATTGCAGGGTCATGGACTATTTCACCAACTGTTAGTTGGGCCATAACTGAAAGTGGTAAACTGTTAGATCACCAACTCCTATAACTGTTACAGTATGTTTAACTAGTGCTTATAATTAACATATGTATATATATATATACTGATATATTTCACATTATTTCACCTAGTGATAGAAGTTATGGTTCATTCCATTGAAAAGAACACTGTGAGTTGGGCCAACCTCCCAAAAGATCCAAAATCGTAAATCAACAGTCAGTGTTTTGGAATCCGATTTTACTTGTCTATCTGTTTTTTGGATTACGTTTCTCCAACATGTGGACCCTCATCCGGCAAGATTAGGTTTCAACCAGCTAAACAGAGGCCACAGATGGACTGGTCGTTGCTTGTCCCCTTAGAAAAACCAAACACGATATGGGGTTTTCCTAAAATAGGATGCCCCTAAATAATCATCTATTTATAGATGGATTTTCCATTCTGAACCATCCATTTTGTGGTGCCCTCATTTCAGGAAACCCACATATGTTTGTAGGGTGTCCGCTTTGATTGACATTCATTCAAGTAGGGCGATATCTATCTTTGAACGTTAGAAGTTGAGTGTGCAGACACTTTCGCCGATCGTACAATATTTGTCCATCCCTACTCAGTGGGTGAATCATCTTACCAAGTAGATTGCATGCCTGCGTATAAAAGTGGCCTAGCCCTACTTAACCTGGATAACAGTTTTACAATAAACCTTTCGTGAGTAGCATGGAGCATCGACAAGTTGGTAGTTTTTGTTCCTCTTTAGTTGTGATGAAACATTGAAAACACATGTTTTTTGTTCCGGTTCAATCCAACAAAAAACAAATCACTTGGAATGTTGATCCCTTGCTCCATTCTTCTCCATTGGTGGGCTGCTTGAGTGCCAGGTGCATCCCTCCAGGCGAAGCGTTGAAGTATCCTGCCATTCAAGCAGGACAGCACAAATTGGCCAAGTTTAAGGTCACTTGGGCAGCAGAAATCCATAGGAAGCGATGGTTAAAGAATGTAGAAAGCCATGTCCATGGTAAATCGGAACTTTTGGGGGCTAGGAATCTCCATCCTCCAAAAAAAATTAACAGGCACATCGTGTGGTCCTAAATATGTGTAAATATGGTCCTATATCTCTACTAAACCAACATCGTTTGTCCGTTGGTTGATATTCGTGGGATGGCATGGTAATTTCAGTATCACTATCTTAGGATCGAATCTACACCAAGTTCCATTGTAACTGGTACCATTTGGTTATGACTAACATAGCGAACTGGAAAATCACCATGCTATTAATAGGTAAACCATATTAAACCATCTATTTCTATGGGCCATTCCCATGGCTCATGGCTTATTGGGGGAACGGCAGATGGCTGCGGTCAAGCCATAAAAAAGTGTGGCCTTTCAACTACTGCCGGTGATCCAATATGGTATTTAAAGCCCTGGAGAATTATACATCGAGTATATATCCAAACCCGTGGAATGATATGGTTACTATGGTTACTCCCCATAGTTAGAGGGTAATCACCAACTATAATAGTTAATATATGGCTATATCTGGTTGGTGGTGACTGGAACCACGGAATTTTATGACTTTCCATTCAGTCGTGAATAATAATCCCAACTGACTAATATTTTTCAGAGGGGCTGAAACCACCAACCAGTTATGCATTGAGTGTATATCCAAACGACTATAAGAACAGAAGAAGAGCCGAAAAAGACATGTTGACATATAACTTATATTATAAACCAACTCAGCTCACATAAATCATCCATACAATGATTCATTAGATTAGTTGTCAGCTATATTAGTGATTCTAACGTGATTATATCTACCCATATTAGTTGTCATATTAGGCATCATGATTTCTCGCAACATAACACACATGATTGTCCATACCAGCAAGGATCACTCTGTCTGGATTATATGGGAGAATTGGATAATTATGTCGTTTTATCTTATGTTTAGTCATCCCTTATCATCCTATCCTTGTTGTAAGATATTTCGGAGTTTAGTTCCACAAATTCGCGGGTTCTCGAATCATAGTTGTAGGTGTTCCCAACTTGTGGAGGTCATAGTCATACCGATTAATGGCACGAACTGCACTCCCAAGTAATAGTTGGTTCCGTTCACACACCTAGCTATAAAGATATATCTACCAATCCTTAACAATATATTGGTTATAATATATATATATATATACATACCAAAAAAAAATGATCACTAATTATTAAAGATCATTGACTCCAATTTTATCATCATTACCTCCATGGTTGCCATATCAACCCCCTTTATGATCATCCCTTGTCCCTTGTTGCTGTTTTCAGGTACAGTCCGGTTCCGAACTCGATGACCAAAGCGCGGAGTTCTTCCGTCGCACCGTGGAAGCACCCAAGGGTGCCTCCGTGGGGGGCGCCTGACGCAAGAGGTAGGGCCAGGTAGCGAGTTTCTGTGGGCAAATGGCTGATTGGTGTGGATTGTTCATTATTTTTCCAGGAAAAAGCTGGAGAAGAGCTGAAAAAAGAGAGTTTGAACGATTGAATGGTGAATTCCGAGAAATTATTCGTCAGATGAGTTGTTGAAACGAACTTTTTGGAATGTGTATCTGTGAAGAATCCAGTCAATCGCCAAATATGTTTGCTTTTATTTATCAGTAGGTCAAAGTAACCTGATGACTCATCGATTAGACTTGGCGCACCAAAAAAAAGCGCTGTGCGAAGAAAAGGCCCCGAGGTTATCGCTGCATCGGGAACAGCTGTTGACACATAAGAAACCAACAAGGATTGTCGTGGTATTTCATGGTGAGCAACAAACATGTGTTTCCCATGCAAGGTGGTGCCCCATAGTTGGCTAAGTTGGTTTATAACTCCCATAACTATGGTTTATGGCAGATATAACTATAGTTAATGGAGTTTATAAACCAACTTATAACTGGGGGGCACCATCCCATGTGTGTTGGTTCATTCCGCTGGCATTCCACCGAATTGAACCACTGGATTTCCAGGTGGTGGTGAATCCACGTGTTTTGTGGCTGAACTTTCATCGTCACTGAGGCTCGGCGAAACGACGGAAGGTCACTGCAGGCCGGGCTTTCTGTGCAATTTCGGAGTGATTTAATGGAGTTAACCAACAGACACGGGGATACAATGGGGAAAACTATCAACCCAACTACAAGATGGTGCCCCAGCCAGTGCCCTTTGTTGGTTTACAAGCCACACTAGTAGATATACCTACCATAAACACAATCATTAGTCAAGTTAGAGGCCTAACATAAGTTTTTTTATTTCGTGGGCACCACATTGTAGAAAAGCACCAAACAAAACTTAATCCAGAAATGTGGGGGGTCAACAAGCAAAAATGGTCAGCATCAAGGCTACAGCTTAGTCGTGAAATTTGAGCAAGAAATGATGGGAGTAACTGGACAACACTGGAACTTGAAGATGTAATCAATAGTATCGTGTTTTTTTTTTTTTTGCGAACCAACAAATCCTGGTATATCCTGGTATTTAAAAAAAATGATGGTGGTAAAACGTTAACATAATTGAACATATACCAATGACATCCTCAGCATATTTTGGTGATGCAACGTCATGACGGCGCCAAAGAGATTCCAGAGTTTGGCCACAGCCATGACCGGCCCGGCTTGGGGAATACTTGGAGCCACCAAGCACATGAGATGAGATATATAACTATTAGATAACTATTAGATAAATGTGGAAAGGTTTTTTTATACAAGGAAGACGAATCTGGTGGTATTAATCTGGTAGTTATTCAATAGGTATTGAGAAGCGAGAAAATATCTGGAGATTTGCAAGGTTTCTTTCAACCCGAGCTGGTGACGTACTTGGTAACCACCTAACTTTTGAAAAAAGTCCCTTACTATGGCACATCTCAGGATATCCGATGCCACAAGATAGTCTGTATGAGTTTTCAATAGTTTTCAGTATATCATTATGAATGAAAGCTTAGTAGTTCCTTTTGGTTTACCCTCTGGTTATTTAACATAGCCATGGTATAGATGGCCCTAATCGAAATAGATGGTTTACCTATTAATAGCATGGTGATTTTCCATGGCTAACTGTTAAATAACCAGATGGTATTCTCCAAATACACATTTCTTTGGGCCTCCACAGAGTTCTTTGTCGTTCACCGCCATACCTGTTCCGTTTCTTGCAGCCGATCCGTGGTTCGACGGTTCGGGAACTCACTCAATGAATGACCATGGCTATGCATTGGCTGCACATATCCACGCATCCAATGTAGGTTTTTTATATATATATATATGGTTTTTATCAAAAATCAAAACCAATAGAGTCCAACCGATTTGATTAGTACTAATCCATTTCAACAAAAGTAAATCAGTAAAATTGTGTGTTTAATGCCACATCTTCGAAATTGTGGTTTTGAACATCCTATTGCCTATCACCACGTATAGCAGTTTGAAGCTACACAAAGCTGATTGTAAGCATACTGTGTTACGTCATTTCAGAACTGATAACACTCAACTCAACAACAACTCCGGACAGTGCAAAGCTGCGCCGTCTTCAACTGTGCCTTGAAAGCATTTTGATCTCGGTCGGTTCATAGATGCGGTTCCCCTGATCTCTTGTGTGGCTGAACCTCGCACGTTGGATACGTCCAGCTTTGGGTTCCATTGCATGAACTTGCAGGTCTATGCCTCGCTTCATTTTGCGTTTCTTCTGTATATTGAAACTAAAATAGTTGTATGGCTGGATATACGATACTAAATATGATACTGTAAAGTTTGGAAGTTGGGCGGTATTGGCCCTGCAAACCCCCTGGATATGGATTGATATGCATTAACCAATGTAGTGTCCCCACAGTAAATCCTCACTGGCAGAATTGCCAGACCTGTTTTTAGGGCAGCCAGTGGCCTTTTTCCACCCTGGCAACGTGGAATTTGGGCCATTTGGGTATGGGAAAAATCGTGGTTCCCTCCCCACCAAAAAAAGATGGTTTTTAGGGTATAGCCCCCATTTCCAGAGTTATCCATCTGAAGTTTGGTGAAAAGTATGGTCCGACTCTTTGGCTGTTCATTTGAACGATTTTTGTTGAGCCCCGGGCCCGCAGATGTTTTTTCAAATACACAAAAGCAACAAATGCAACAAAAACTGGTGTTTACTGTTTACCACACCAAAACAAACGGTGTTTTACCATGCTTTAGAGCATTCAAGTATCCAAGTCCAGGCTGTCCAGGCCTTATATACCGAAGCTGCACACTTTAAAGATGGATGATACGGTATTCAAGAATATTCAAGATCATCACTGATTACTTGAATAATAATTATAATCATTACTTATAAGATAAACTATAAGATTGTATATTGTAATATATTAACTGATTACTATTATATATTACTGATTACTTATAAGATTTTTGTATAATCTATGATTGATTATATATTCAAGTAACCATTTTTAGGGCCCCCATATTTTGACGCCCGAAGATGGAGATGCCAGGAATTCGCAATGGCCAATGAGGAGCCATCGGTCAAGACCCTGGTGAAGAATCCATAGCATATGGACTTTGAAAGTTTAAAAGTCTGTAACTCTCCCCCTCAAAAAAAAACCTGGATGGTCTAATAATGTTCAATAGCAAACAAATACATTGGGTACATGGGTACCCCAGTCTTGCATAGCCATGGCAGCCATGAGGGCCGTCGACAAAATTAATGTGGTTTATAGACCAACTTATAATCGAAGGGCACCGCCTTGTAGAAAGTGGGATGATGGTAGATCTAGTCACCAAGCTTTTGTTGGAATTGTGGCGCACCGAGCATCAACCCAATATGTCATATCAGTGTCCCACGTGTTGCTTGTTCATACTCCATGTTCGTATGTTTCTGTTCGTTAATATACAGAGTACATCCCTGCAATACTTCTGATTTGATTGTTTGCTGAACCACTAGCCAATGGATATAGTAGTATGTTGCTTGTTACTACTATCCAGATCGCCCATGCATCTTACAACAGCCAACCGTCAGCCTCCACTTTGTATGGGTTGGTTGAATACCCTTTGTTTTTATATGTTTTGTTTATGACTTTCTTAACCAGCTTAACCAGCTTGAAGCAGTACTGCTTCAATATTGGTTGCATCCCCATGCGGTTGCATCCCCATAGTTGAGAGGGTCAATAATATCGCTTGAAACCACCAAAAAAAACACCAGAACCATCATGTTCAGACCCATTGTTTTTGTTTTTTTTTAATGGGTTCCTTCCGTTTCTGTTTTTTTTGACATGTTTTTTTTGTTTCCCGGATACTCCATTCGCTGTACCTACATTTACCCCCATTCAATAGCCCAGATGTAGCCAAATCTTCCAGAAACATGTGTATTTGGGTAAGCTCCATCCCAGTTTCTGTTGAAACCACGGATGATTGATGATTCTGCACCAGGATCTGAGATTGCTCAACGTCCTCCAAGGCTTTCCTCCACAAGATGTGGCTTGGCCACGCTGGCCGCGCCGCTGGATGGATGGATGACCGTACCAAATATCTGGGTAAATTTCATCACCACCTCACGTCGCGACCGAACCCTGGAATCATGGTTTTCATAAGGGAAATCATACCCTTTTATGGCCTTAATTCATCTTAATTCAGGTTAGTGAAATATTATTATTGTCCCAGACATATGATAATATCATGTTTTGACCATGACACATATGTCAGTATGACGTTTTTTCTTGGAGGATAAAGACACAACTATGCTTCAAGCAACCCCCCAAAAGAGAGAACAGTCATTGATTACTTCTTACTATGTCAGCAGCAATGCGTTTTTTGCCTATATTGTTGGGGTTGCTATAAAAATCCACATAGACTTATAGAGTTCTTGGATAGAATATGATAGAATTTTGCATGAGTACGGAAAGCTTGGAAAATGGTTTTTGCTTTCGGACACACATCACCAGGATATACATATATAGATATATATATATAATTATTCCCTATATACATCATAATATATCATAATATACCAATATATGGTTGCTATTTTATCTATAATTAAACACTTACACACGCACTTAAACACATTTTGGTTAATCCCATCTATCATCATAGAAACCTGTTGTTTTTCAGGGGTAAACCTTCCAACCTAGGATGAACACAGCGAGCTGCGCCGCGCGATGAGCCGCTCCGTGGCCGACTTTCTGTCAGGTGTGGACGAGGCAAAGCCAGGGATCCAGGGATGGGAAAAAACGCCATGGAAAAACCATGGAAAAACATGGAGAAGATGGATATGTTAACTATGTTAACTATCAATTAGTTGTTTTTTTGCAGCAAAATGTGTGATTTCACCACCAACCTGGTGATTCACACCATGAATGGAGATGAATTGTGATTCAATGTGGGATTAGTTCGACATAGTGGTATGATGGAATACAATAGTGGGGATATTTGGATAGTTGCAGCCATATGTTAGCTACGCTTCTTTGTTTCACCAATATGGCTTGGGTCTATGGTAGATATCTAAATAGTTAACGCACTTTAAATTTAGGAACTGGAACACACTTGTATATGTCTATGCAAACAAAAAT